AAACGCTTGATTGCAACAGCTGTGTCTGGTGAAGAGAATGATACCGATGAGGCTATCGTGTACGTTAAAGGACATCGAAAACGAGAATGGCTTGGTGATATGCTCGATGCGAGAGTAGTCATTGAAACTCTGGATGCCGGTTACGAAGATGTAGTTTCTTTGAATAATCTAAGTGTTATTAATACTATGCGCTGTGGAAAACATGTTAAGTATTGCGCATTACAAAACGTATTTATAATATATAACTGGTGGTCACACCATCATATAAAACAATAAAATGTATAATTTTAATATTATAATCTTAATAAAATGTGAAATTTTTAAAATTATATTTTAATTTCTTTCCCTTTTCTTGTAGTTAAGATCAGGCATATATGTATATAGCACTACTACTACACTGAAATGTGTGCGTTCATATTTATCTTTGACGCGGATAAAATTTCTACCTGGCGATTATCGCGAACGAAAGAACATTTCTATGCGGTTAGGAACGATAGCGGTTTGATAGAATAGGTTTAATAGACAGTTCGACAGGCTGTTTTTTGGACAGACAAGCGGTTTGACAGGCGGTTCGATTGGACAGACAGGCAGTTCGACAGGCGGTTCGATTAAACAGACAGGCGGGTCGATTGGACAGACAGGCAGTTCGACAGGCGGTTCGACAGGCGGTTCGATTGAACAGACAGGCGGTTCGGCAGAACAGCGGTATCGGTTTGACAGAACAGACAGGCTGTTCGACAGAACAGCAGTATTGGTTTGATAGAACAGACAGGCGGTTCGACAGAACAGCGGTATCGGTTCAATAGATCAGCGGTACCGATTCGATAGAACAGAGATATCGGTTCGATAGGCGGTTTGATGATGGTTTCGTACTATGTGTCTTCGTGACGTTGCCATGGCATTGAGATGCGGCGAATGCTGACACGGTAATTTTTTATCTTGACTCGTAAAATATCTAACTAATGAAGGTCGCGAAAGAATATGATTTTCTTTATAGTTAAACTAATAGCGATTTGATAGAACAGACAGGCGGTTCAACAGGCAGTTTGACAGGCAGTTCGACAAAACCGGGGTATCGGTTCGACAGGCAGTTTGACAGATCAGCGGTATCGGTTCGACAGATCAGCGGTATCGGTTCGATAGGCGGTTCGATAGGCGGTTCAGGGGTATCGGTTCAATAGGCGGTTTGATGATGGTTTCATACTATGTGTCTTCGTGACATTACCACGACATTGAGAATGCTGACACATTAATTTTTATCTTGACTCGTATAAAATATCCAACTAACGAAGGTCGCGACAGAATATGATTTTCGTTGTAGTTAAACTAATAGCGGTTCGATTGAACAGACAAGCAGTTAGACAGGAGGTTTGACAGAACAGCGGTATTGATTCGACAGAACAGGGGTATCGGTTCGATAGGCAGTTCGACAGATCAGCTGTATCGGTTGAACAGATCAGTTGTATCGGTTCGATTGGCGGTTCGATAGCAGTTCCGTAAAAGCATTTTTTAAAGTTACGGCTGTTTCAATAGCGCGGGTTGGGACGGCGGGGTGGGCCCGTGAACGCGGTGGCAGTGATAACGGGTGGGACGGAGAAACCGCGGGAAGGACGGTGTGGCCCGTGTGCAACGGGTGGGACGCGAGCGGCGGCGGCGGCGGCGGCGGCGGCGGCGGCGGCGGCGGCGGCGGCGAGCGCGAACGCGGTTCCCTCTTCCCCGCGACACCCGCATTCTAAACGCGGTTCCCCTCTGCCCGCGACATCCGCATTTTCGACGCGGTATCCCTCTTCCCCGCGGAGCCACGACGCGGTTCCCCTCTCCCCGCGGACCCCCCATCCACGACGCGATTCCCCCGTCCCCGCGGACCCCGCATCCACGACGCGGTTCCCCCGCCCCCGCGGTCAGGCCAGCTGGAGCGAGCTTTCCGCAGCTTCCCTCTCCCCGCGGACCCCGGATCAGGCCGTGAACGTTCTGAGCGGCTTCCCCCTCCCCGCGGATCCCCGCGGACCCCCTCTCGCGGACCCCCCGCGGACCCCCCCTGCCCCGTCACCCCCCCTCGGAGCTCGC